TCCCAGAACCCCTCCCCTCCCCCCGCCTCCCTACGAGAAAGAAAAACCTACCCCAAGCCAAAACAAACGTTAGCGCTCCTCGTGGGAAACCCACGGTCAATATTATGGGCCCAAAGCGATCCTATTTCGTCCCGGGGCGCCGGGCCAAAGTGGGTGTGTATCTCAGAACGTGATGGAACCCTCGAAATGCGTCCCGAGAACAGCAGGGGGTACGCCCCTGATCGATGCAAACGCTATTGCCTCCCACACCTTCTGCTCCTGACCCGCGGCCAAGCTAACGCTCGGTGCACACTGTAGAAAGTTTCATCAAATCCCCGTTTGATATGGTTTGACGAATACAACAAAGACCCTATTCGATAATATTATGGTTTGACGCATTCAGACGGGCCCTGTTTGATATGGTTTGACATAATTTTAACGACGGCCCTATTTTATATGGTTTGACGCATTAAACGACAGTCCTATTTGATATGGTTAGGCATTCGATGGGAAGTTTATTTACTGATATGGTTTGATTATAGGGAACTAGAGTACTTTAGTTCGCTATGGATTTGACGCATCTGCTGGCGGCCCTATTTGATAAGGTTTGACATATTTAACGGTGTTCCTATTTGACATGGTTTGACGCATTCGACAGCAACACTCTTTGATATGGTTTGACTCATCTGACGTCGGCCTTGTTTGATAATTATGATTTAACACATTCGACGGCAGCTAGATCATTCTTCTTGGAGGGGAGCAAAAGCTACCATTTTGGCACATTTTGATCAAATCCTTCAAAATCAAACATTTTCTATTTTCTCGGTGACGATCAGATTCGTCTACTGAAAAACGTGTCCAGAAACGGATCAGAAAGGAGCTACGTGTCACATGTCATTGTGGGACCAGATTTTTTGTTGAGCTCGGCAATCGCTAAGGCCTACTAGACTTCCATGTTCAGATTTATTTTCTAGCTTTAGTAAACGTTTTGTGCTACACTTGCAACACAATTTGTAGATTAGAGATTAAATGTGTTACAAGGGAGTAACAAACACAAAAAGGAAGGAGGAGGGGATTAGGAAGACAGATGTTTGATAGAAAAGAAGAAGCATACTACACCAGAGTACCCGCCAACCACCCGCCATGTCAAATTTTATGAAGTCAAGCAGTGGTCTTTAGTTTTAGGTGAAGGTTTAAGGCAGGCACCAAGGATTACAATTATTACAGGACAGTAACATACAAACAAATGAAGGGGTAGAGATAAGGACGAACGACATTTGATTGGAAAGAAGGAGCAAACCAGAGCGCCCGCCAATCACCCAGTAAGCAGAGGTCTATCTAACTTAGCGTGCTCTGTTCACCACCATTACCCAATCCGATCTGATCCGATCTGATCCGATCTGATCCGATCTGATTATGCAGATCGGGTCCATTAGACCAATGGGCACCCCTACTGAGATGGACAAGATAGTCGATGGTGTTGGTATAATTTGTAGGTCCTATTTTGAAGATTGTGCGAAAACAGTTTTTGCTGAAAAATCAATGGGCCAACGAAGCTACAACAACAACTACTACTACGACAACAACAACAACAACAACAACAATAATAATAACAACAACAACAACAACTACTACTACTACTACTACTACTACTACTACTACTACTACTACTACTACTAC